GATAGCCCTCTTCAAGAGCAACAATGGCATAAGCAATGCATATGCTGCTTCTGGAATTCTGGTAGTTCTCAAAATGTAACATTTCCAAGCTCCAGACACATGCACCTGCTGATAAGCAGAACATTTGCTTTGTTAATTCAGAATCCCAGGTTCAGGGCTTGATATTTTTGGCCAAGCAATGGTGTTTGGAAAACAGTCCAGTCCCTGATGTAGCATTGTGTCAGATCATGTGACAGCTTCTTCTCACCAGTGTCATGACCTGTGATGGTCCCCTCTGTCAATCAGAAGTCTTCATGTGTGTGTTTGCTTCTCACTTCCTTCTTCTGTCTGTTGTGTTCCTGTTCTGAAACTGGTCGATGTGGTTCAATGGGCAAGGGGAGGGTAACTTTTTTTTTTTAAAGAAAGAAGAGTTACAGAAGTGGGAAAGGACTTACCTCATAATGGAGGTTTGTGTGCATGATATCCTGTCTCATGCTGCACTTGGACACAAAAGGTCCTCGATCTTGCCATGAGCATGGGGAAATTAATTTTTTGGACTTCAATTCATAGAATCCCTGGCAGGACAGAACATCTTATTATGGGATGCTTTCAGGGATTTGTGGTCAACAACAGCAGCAACAATCACTTTTCATGCTTATGCCACTAATAACGAGAGAACTCAAAGATGACTGAAAAAAAAGAGTCTTTCAGAAATATAATTTGACTCCAGCCAAATCTGACAACATTTGACTCTGACCAAACAATAAGCAACCTGTTTGCTAGTCAGCTGACACCTGTGTACCTCAGTGACACTCATCTTGGAGATGTTCATGAGCTGCTACCAGTCAGAGCAGAGAGTACTGGGCTAGACGGAAAAGCTGTCAGACAAAGTAAAGCCAGGTTTTAACATTCATATGGATTTCATATTTGTAGTTTCTGCAAATTAATAGGATTCATGGAAGAGACTTGCATTACTTCAGGCATGACAATATTCTAACATGGTAGGTCCCACCGCATTGTATTTCTTGAGAGAGTAGTTACCACACAGAGTGAGGCCATCATGTTGCAAGTCTTAATGCCCTTCTTTCATCTCCCCAGCTTGTCATGGCTGATGCTGCCCCCAAACCGGCTTCCATAAGTTAAAGGGGAAGGGGTCACATTTAGGGATGCATCCTTGTAATGAAAGCAACATAGGCTCTAAACCTTGCTCCATAGTTTTTTCTCCTTTTTCAGCCTTTTCACTTAGAAGAGGAAGCATTTCACAAGTCGTGTTTTTAAAGGAGCTAGAGGTGCACACACCACATGACAGTTCTGACTTGGCAAGCACGCTCTGATAGGAAATCAACTTTAGGTTTTATCTTATTGCTCAGATGTATCCTTTAGTATCAACCTTTTAGCTTTGACCAGTCCACCTCCATGAGATCCATTAAGTACCATATTTGCCGGAGTATAAGACATCTTTTTTGCACTGAAAAACATGCCTCCAAGTGGAGGGGTTGTCTTATATGCCGGGTGCACCCGGAGCGGGCAGCATGTAGCGCAAGGAGGAAAGAGGAGAGCTGAACAAGGAAGAGGAGGAAGAAGAGGAGGAGGTGGCGGAGGTGGCGCCTCTTCTCCCAAGGAGGCAGTGGGTGGCTCCAGCTCTCAGGCGCCGTATGGCCCAGCAGGAAGCAGCATGGAAAGGCGGAGCCGTATGGGCCAGCAGGAAGCAGCATGGAAAGGCGGAGCTCGGTCCCCACCAGCTCAGTCACTTCCTCACGTTGCCCTCGCAGAAAGCAGCAGCAGCAGCAGTGCCATCTCCTTCTTCCCCTTGACCTACCACCATGTTACCTGGGCATAGAGAAGCTGGCAAGCAAACAGCACCTGCGACAAGCCAGCGCCACCCCGCTTCTGCGCCAGGCTCCTGAGGAGACTTCCGGAGGCTGGGTGAGCGAGCAGGCGCTGGCCTCTGCCTCGGGCCAGCTGGTAGCCCGCCCCAGAAACTTGCTTTCCTTCTCCTCCCTCTTTGGCCCCTTCGGCAGGGTTAAAAAGCAGAGGGAGGGGGTAGTCTTATATGGCGAGTATATAACGAATGCTAGATTTTGAGTGGAAATGTTGGGGTCGTCTTATACACCGGCAAATACGGTAATACAGGCTTTTGCAACGAAGCCTCAGGAGGCTTTTTAAAATAGACAGGCTTTTGCTACGAAGCCTCAGGAGGCTTTTTAAAATAGAATGACTATTTCTACAACAAATAACCTTGAATTGGGATATAATTTACCCTAACCCTAAACCTTGTGGTCAGCAAAATGAAGCAGAAATAGGCTGGGCTGTTGCACAGTAGGGCCTTCATATGGTCCATTTGCTTTTTCCCTGATCAAATAAATGCCTGACTTCTTCTCACACCTATAGAGAAGACTCAAGTGCTGCACTTTACTGGGAGCATCATTGTAGGGGTGGCAATTTCTGATCCTTTGACACTTGATCATTTGCCAGCCCTGGTTGACAATGGCCCAATGTCGGGGTGAGTTGTCTCTTGTGGGCAGAGTAAAAAAACAAGCAAATAATAATACTTGGCCGGCTTCTTTCCCCATCATAATGATGGGCATTTTGCTGGTCATGTCAAATGCAAAAAAAAAAAAAAAAAAAAAAAGACTTGAAAAAGTGGAAGAGGCACATCAAACAAAAGCATGCTTGTGTTATCCCAGCATTGCCAGGCAAACAGAAAAGAAAAAAAAAAAAGAAGAAGACTTGAAAAAGTGAAAGAGGCACATCAAACAAAAGCATGTTTGTGTTATCCCAGCATTGCCAGGCAAACAAATAGAGGCTTAATTGAGGATTGGCTATCTGGAAGCAAATATAGCTCTCGCCATTGTTTAAAATCTTTGTTCCTGCTGATTTGCAAAACTGCTCTAAAGTGCAGTGTGACTGGATGGGCATAAAAATACTGCTTTCTTTATATAATAGGCACATAGTGACCTACATGGGCAAGTTGTGAGAAATAGGGTGGCTCTAATGTTAGGCATCAGCGATTATGTTCCTGACCAAAGTGAGGATAGTGTCCTTCTTTGTTTTGTGTGTGCAGCACATATTGACTTCAGTGAACATGCTATTCTGAAGCTTTCATGAAAACTGTTGCCCTCACCCTCGTTCTCTGGAGGAGCCCTCTTGAGTACCCTTGATTCACTGGTCCACTCCAGCTGGGATTAACAATCTGATTTAGCCTTGAGTGTTTTGAGGCATGAAACAACAGCTCGAGGCCACTGCTACTTAATAAACCCTGTCATAGTGAGAACTATGAGCTCCTGAAATTACCTGGGGCTCCCAAATCTCACCATGGGTTATAGACATAAATCCATTAAGCATTTAATGGTAATGAATATATGTGGCAAGGGGGTGTGTCTGTTGAGTAGAGAACAAGCATGCATGAATGCAAGTTAAGAACTTTGTGCTGTAACTTGCATGTGACAGGAATTGTGGGAAGAAGCGTATATGTAGCCATGACCTGATAAATCATAGTTTGTGGGCTTTGAATGATTGTTCAAATACTGCCATAGGATGTAGCATAAAGGAAGCATTGGGGTATAGTGGGGTTTTGTGACGTCTGTAATATGTATGGAGAGTTCCATTTTCTGAATCCATATAGAAGTTTTAAAGGTAATTAAACAAAGGTGGATAGGCTGAATTACATTTCCTGGGAGTGTAATTATTGTGCAGTTTTAGCCCAATGTCTTTGTATTAATATCAAAATAAAAATGGGTAACCTACCTTACTCCTCTTTATAACATATAGAAGGAAATAATAGTTTTGTTTTAGTAGGGGGTAAGGATTATGTGGCTTTTCAGATGTTGTTGGACTGCCATTCCCATGCATATTAGTCAGCATAAGCAGCATGCCTCATGATGGGAACTGTTGTCTCAGCCATGTCTGAAGGGCCACATATTACACCCAGGTTGTGCTGTAGTGTGGAGGCTTGGCTGGCTTGTGGAGGATAAGAGGGAAGCCTACACAAAGAGCAGATGAGGTGTCCTAGTGGATATTTTATCTCTCAGGCAGATAAGTGAAAGTTTCGTGTGGGCATACATACCTTAGTCATGAATGGGAATTTCAGTTTGGTTTTGATCAGAATTTATCAAAAGTTGCAACATTTGTATGTGAGACAAAGCAAAACTTTCAGATTTGTCTATTCTTATAGGCTTAAATTGTTTGAACCCTTATTTTCTCATTGGAAAAAAAATCCTAAGAACTATAGCTTGGGGTGGGGTGGGGGCTAGGGAACTTTAACAGATAAGTGACAGGAACCCTTCTTAAATACTGACTTTCTGAAGGCAAGTTCTGAGGGTGAAACAAGTACAGGAACTACGGCTGTTTATCATGTAGATGAGGCCTAACTTCTCAACTGTAAAAATCACTGGGTTGGATCTCAAATTTGTTAGACTAAATTGAAATCAATGAGTCTTAAATTATCTGTGACTAATGTCCCCATTGCTCCCAACAGGACGAATGCATAAATAGGACCCAATTACTTCTGTCCCTTACCATACTGAATGCAAGTATAGTTCCTCATATTGTGTGAGAATATGAGACTCAGGTTGTAATCTTCTACTTACTTAGCAGGGAATAAGTGAAATGTTTTTAAAAGCGCGTATCATTTGAGCCCATAATCGAATAGAGCAAGCAGCATACATAGGACAGTGTACAGAAAAGTGATAGACTCAAAAAACTCATTTCAGTTTTACCCTAAAATGCCCTGACACTAGTGACCATTTGTGAGGTGAGGGCATAATCACCCTTCTCATGATTCATATAACTGATAAAGGAAAACCATTTAAATATAATTTAGTATGCTTGTTACAGCATACTCACATTTGATGCATACATTTCCCTTTTTATGTCAGTCCCCCGTAATCTGTTGTTGAATAGATAACCTTTGGTTTCCTGTGTTGCTTCTGAGCAGATATACTTTACACAGGGCTTGTTTTCCTGGTTAAACAGAGCGTTATTATTTCAGGGAATAACCCTCTTCTCTTTCTCGTTTCCAGGGCTCCAAAATGGGAGGCAAACTGAGCAAGAAGAAGAAGGGCTATAATGTGAATGATGAAAAGGCCAAAGAAAAGGACAAGAAGGCTGAGGGGGCAACTGCTGAGGAAGGGGAGGCTCTGAAAGAGGGCGAGCAACAAGTGGCAACGGAGGCTGCGGAAGTGAAGGAGAACAGCAAAGAAGAGAAGGGTGGCGAGCAGGAAGCCCAGGTGTCTGCTAACAAGGCAGAAGAAAAAGAAGGGGAGAAAGAAAAAGCAGTGAGCCCAGAAGAACCTAAGAAACCTGAACCGGAGAAGGCGGAGACTGTGGTCGATGCCAAGGTGGAGCCTCCGAAGAACAACGAGCAGCAGACAGCCAAGCCAGAGGAGCCCACTTCGGCCTCTGCTCCTCCTCTGGCCTCCGGCGATGTGCCAAAACAGCCCTCGGAGCCCAGTGGCGATGCCAAAGCTTCCCAGCTTTCAGAAGCCACAGCACCTAGTAAAGGAGATGACAAGGGCAAAGAGGAAGGGGACGCCAAAAAGACTGAGGCTCCTGCAGTCCCTGCGCCCCAGGAAACTAAAAGTGAAGCGGCCCCAGCTTCAGACTCAAAACCTAGCAGCAGCAGCGAGGCGACCCCATCTTCCAAGGAGACCCCGGCCACAACAGAAGCACCTAGTTCTACTCAGAAGGCCTCAGAACCCGCAGCCCCACCAGAGGAAGCAAAAGCATCTGACGCTCCAGCAACTAATTCCGATCAAACCATAGCAGTGAAGGATTAAATTGGACAGCCTGTTGGGAAACAAAACAAACAAACAAACAAAAAATTAACCACTTAAAACAACCTGTGTCTTTTTTTTTTAATTATCTTCTCTTTCCCCCCACCCCCCACCCCAGCTCTACTAACTCGTTTCAGATCTGAAATAACAGTATGTATTGCCCAGGAAAAATTTTAAAAAAAGAAAGAAAGAAAGGAAAGAAATAAAACAAAAACAAAAACAAATGGATTGTCCCATTAAGTTTGGGGTGGGGAAGAGGGAGTGGGGTGGGGGGATAGAGTGGTGGCTGTGGCAGGGGAATCCAAATAGTATTTTTGTGGGGAAAATATCTAATATACTTTCTGCCAACTTTACAGAGTCCTGTATTTCAATCAGTAATTAAAGTCAGACGACAACCCAGATGTCTGAAAGTGCAGTACCTCTTTCTTTTGTACCCAAACTGCTGTAAATGCACTCCACCCACTTTTTGAGCTTTCCTTCTTTTTTTCCTCTAACAGGGGTTTGGGAGTGATATTGTAATTGATTCTGCCCTCTGGGCCTGTGCCACACAGATCAGATCTTTATGAAAACAGTATTTCCTCTGGGTGTTCTTCTTTTTTTAAAAAAAATTAATTTACAGCCTTCTATCATTTTGTATTTTTTATGCAGTGGATGAATGACAACCTTCAGACAAAACTCACGTAGCTGTCCACATTTTTTCCTCAACGCCAATCCTCTGATTCTTCTTCCTCTCCAAATATTTTTGGGAGTTAAAAAAAAGAGAGAAATATTTAAAGAAAGCATTCTCATCCTACTTAGCCTACCTAGATTTCTCATGACGAGTTTAATGCATGTCCGTGGTTGGGTGCACCTGTAGTTCTGTTTATTGGTCAGTGAAAATGAAAAAAAAAAAGTCTGCGTTCTTGCAGTTGCAGTTTCTCTTCCATTCTGTGTCACAGACACCAATACACCACTCATTGGGAAAACAAACAAATGAAAAGCAAAGCAAAATGTACAATGGATGCATTGAAATTATATGTAATTGTATAAATGGTGCAACAGTAATAAAAGTTAAATAATTTAAAAAAAACATCTGAGGTGTTAGTGGTGGAAAATTTCTTGAGATGACCTTTTCTTTTTTATATGTAGAGAAAAATGGTTCCTAGGGTTTTCACTTTCAGAAAGGGAACAGCTACATTTTTTTGGAGACAGTAAGCCGGTGGCTCCCAGATTTGGGGGTGCTGTGTACAAGAGAGGCCCCCGAGGCTTCTTGGGGGGGGGAACAGAAGGATGTGGCTCTTCCCAGTTTTAGGTTTCCCCCCACAGGATATTGATGAGACTGAGGCATCTAATCAAGCGGTGAAGCAAAACCAGAAGGGCAAGCTGAAGCCAGTCCTCACAGAACAGGCTGGGTGGGTATTGAGAGACGATTTGGTAGAATTTGTGAGGTGAAAGAAGTATTAAAAGAAATCAGAAAGTAAGGCAGGAACAGGTGGGGCAGACTTTTGCAGAAACAGGTTTGAACCTACCATCACATTAGCAGCCAAGTGCTAGGGCAGCAGGGCTTTCTTCCATTTTCCCGACTCCAAGGCTTGATTTCCCACCTCAGCAGCACTCCAGTTTTTGAGGCTTCAGGGCAGTCTGCAGGGACAGAAAATAACAACCTCAGTTCCTCTCACACAATCTGTTCAGTAAAAGCTATTTGGTCCCAGTGATGCTTAATGGCTTTCTGAGGAAGTGACATGAGTGAGTCAAGCAACAGCCTGGGTCAAGTTCCAGCCCAGGTCCATATTTCCATTCCACATATGCCTTATAGCGCTCTCATTGGTTAACATCCAGAACTGACCATCATCACCCTGTTTGGGAGCCTCCTTGAGAAGCCTGCTTGGTTGATTTCACAAGGCAGCATATTGATTTTAATGTACCGTTTCTCTCACTGACATTGGCAGTGTCTCCCATTGAGATGTGGAGAAATGTGCTCTAGTCAATGGGTGCAACTGAATTAGCTTCAGATTGCTTTCCATGAGAGTCAGCTCAATCACAAGACATTACACATAACTTCAGGGCACAGCATGAACTGCGTCATGGACATTTAGTAGCAAGCTTTCCTGAATCGCTGCATAAGAGAGATGGTTTCTCTATGCAGATCTATGATGAGATTGCAGGGAAACATTCATCATGACATATCCTTGGGAGGTAGAAACATGAGTATAGTGCCATAAAATGTGAGGATTATATTTAGATTTTGGCAAAGTCAGACGTATTGATTACAATCCAGTAGTAAGCTGCAACTAGAGTAGACCCACTGGAACTTGCAGAGGAGTTAGTTCACCAAACTCCTGCCAATTCAATGGACCTTTTCTAGATATGGCTTCCTATAGGATTCCAGTTGGGTTACCCAAGCATTGCTTTCTTTTAATCCAGGGTGAGAAATGGCGGGCATTCCAGATGTTTTGGACTACTAGCTCACCTAACTCTTTACAATTGTTTTGTGGGGGCGGGTTGATGGGAGTCAGAGCCTGCAACATCTGGAAGGCCAAAGATTACTTACCCCTGCATTAATCTTTTCCTCTTTTTTTTCCTTTTTTCTTTTTGGAGGGAGAGAAAATGGTTGAGGTAGCTGGGTATATTAGCTTGGAAAACAGAAGGCTGAGAGGTGTTACAATAACCATCTTTAAATATGTGAAAAGCTGTCACATAGTAAAAGGCACTTGTATCCTGTGGCTCCAATAAATAGGATCATAAGCAGTCATTTCTAATAACAAGAAAAGAGGTTTTGACTAAACATTAGAAAGACCTTCCTGACAGTAGGAGTTGTTTGGCAGTGGAATTGACTAACTCAGTGGTAGGCTATCATTGGAAATCTTTAAACAGAAGTTAGATGGCTGTCAAGGATGCTTTGATTATAATTTGTCACGAGGTTGGATTTAATGACCTGTAGGTCCATTCCAGCTTTATAGTCCTGTGATTTGACAATTCTTTTTATTAGTACATATCACTATTGCCTTTCAATACAAATATTCCTTGGATCTTGAGACTTGAACAATATATAAGGCAAATAACCAGAACACTTTAAGCTACGCCCTAAATCTTTAGTAATCAGATACAAACATATCGTCTCTTTCAAGCACTGGGTTAATGACTTATCCAAATTTGGGCTCAAATTCATGTTCAAAAGCAAAAGCAAAGCGTGCTGCTTATATACCGCCCCATAGCGCTTCAAGCACTCTCTGGGCGGTTTACAATTTAATTATGCAGGCTACACATTGCCCCCCCCCCCCCCCGCAAGCTGGGTACTCATTTTACTGAAGAATATATAAGGCAAAAAACCAGACCACTTTAAGCTACGCCCTAAATCTTTAGTAATCAGATACAAACATATCGTCTCTTTCAAGCACTGGGTTAATGACTTATCCAAATTTGGGTTCAAATTCATGTTCAGAGTTACAGTCCCAAACGACCTACTTCTGGTTGCCAATTTAGACATCTAGAAAGACTGCATTTGGAGCACAGCTTCATGGACAGCCCCTAAACCACACCAACAGAGGAAGAAGACAGTTGAAAACTTTGGATTATTTGTGTAAGCTGTCTGACATAGGGTTATCCAATCTAAATGTTACCAGGGCATGACTATCAGCAACTACATCTCTCATCTTCTGGCAGTGGAATCAACTGAACCTAACCAACAGTGCTCTGGACCAGAGTTGCTATCTGAGAACCTAGTGGCAATGTGATGAGACTAACAATACCTGTTAACAATGAGACTGCTCTATAAAATAAAGTGTGATTCTATCTGAAATAAGTACTCCATGTAGCTCATGCAAGGAGCCCTCTTAGTTATCTAGACTGAGTTTCAGTTTCTTCACTCATATAACAGCCCACTACTGCTTTTATGGTCTCTCCAGACAAGTGATTGCCACACCTGGCTTGGATGAAAAGAAGAAACTCATCAACATATAATGACATCTCATTCCATGCCATCAAATGACCTCTCCCAACAATTTCATGCTCCTACAAAAAAGTATGGGAGAGAAAACAACTTCGTGGATCCCTTATTATCATTCCCATAGAAAGTATGTATAGTCTAGTATTCCCAGGTAACTCTTCCTAGGTCATTATTTAAAATTCCAAACCCCAAAGATACTGTCATAGATTATTCTTAAAAACTTAATGACCTCCCAAAATGATATATGTGCCTCCCACTGCTGTCCCATACAGGTTGTCAACAAATGCAGCCAAAGCAGTGGCTTGCCCAAAATGGGCCTAAGAGTAGATTGAGAAGGGTATAACTCAACCACATCTTGAATAGTCCAGTCATTGCTCTTTTGAGCATCTTGACCACTAAAGGTAAATCTGAGGCTGGCCTATGATTGCTGAGATCATTGTCTCCTAAAGATGTTTCTTTCATAGGGTCTGAACTGTGGTTTATTTCTAGGTGACAAGTACCAATCCACACTTAAAACAAGAGCTGACTTTCCCGTTGGCTGTCCTGGCTAACTCTCGTTCTGGGCTGTTGTGAGCAAGAGGAGTGAATAGTTGAATAGACATGCTATCATTAAGTTCCTAATTTAATGTTGTGAAGAGAGGCATATCTCTTGAGGTCGGACTTGATGGCCTTTTAGGCTTTTTCCAACTCCATTGTTCTATGATTCTTTAACTTCGTGCCCTATGATTAACACCTGTCTGCAGTGGAAAGCTGAATTTAAAATGATGGATGCATTATTCTTGATAGTAAAGACATTTGAGACCAAACCACATCAGGGTATGAATGACTCAGCAAGAATTAGGATGGATGTAGGGAACTTTCAGTCCTCTACATGTTCTGGCTTACAATTTTGGCCTACCAGCCCCACCTAGAGTGGCACTGATAAGGGATTCTGGGAGTTGACATCAAACATATTTGGAAAGGCAAAGGTTCTCTCTCCTTGGACTAGGGTAACCTGCCATTACTAAGTTTTCGTTTTCAGTCTCATAGTCGTCTGAAAACAACTGGTGTGAAGAACTATTTAAAACTGAAAAAGTACATCAGATTAGACCAGCTTTCTACAGACCCTGCTCTGCTTAACTGGCCATGAAATCATTGAGGCATCTCATGGGTAGACTGGGCAATTATACGAGGATGGTGGATGCAGTATTTGAATACCCTGGGGCAACCCATATACATTTAAAAGAGAATTCTTGAAAATGAAAGACACTTATGAGTCTGTGTCAACCAAATATTTCTTGGTAATTCTATTCAAGTGAATGCAGTACAATGTCTCCTCTGAGAGACATAAAAATCAAATAAGGCCTGGGAACTAAAATAAATAGCCGTTCAAGTACGGTAATTTGAATGAAGGAAGCAGCTATGTGTTGAGTTCTCTACATTGAGAATGCCTGGCACAGCTGCAGAACTCACTTTATTCTCTTAGTCATAGCCAGGCCAACAGAGAAGGATGGTATGGGCTAACTATCAGCCATCCTAAAGAGGAAAAGAAAGACCTCCAGGACTCCGGAAGAGGTGACCCCCTGTTCCCGGCAATATGACCAATGTAAACTCTGAGGGCCATACCATTTTCATTCTAGAAAACACATTCTGACCTTCCCTTAATAATGGTGCTGATTATTTGATTTCTCATTCTTAAGATGTTTCTGTTATGCCCCAGTTTTAAGCAATAGATTTCAGAATATAGTTGGGGCAACGATGGAGATTTTCCCCCCCTCCGTCTTTGCTTTCTTAGAAGAGCCAGATCAAATAGGGTTGCTTGAGATACATATGCCATTTTGATGGAAGGATTCCACCAAAGGACATACTGGACCTCTACCTGACTTTAAGTTACCTTATTTGGCCTACTCCAGCATGCTCCAATTGAACTTGTGTTGACAAGCACCGAGTTTAGCAATATTAATTTTAACACTGTGTTTTAATTTACTTGCTTTA